CGGAGCGCACTTGACATGCGGTCGGTGCCATTCATTCGGTATATTTTTCAACATCGACATGCTGTTGCTTTTGGTTGCTTTTCTTTGTTGTGGGAATAAGTATTTACGGAATGATAACTTCAACTAGGGGCTCACAGTCACTTCTACGCTCAACTGCACGACGCCAAACGTTCTGAGCCCACTGAAAAATGATACTGCATGAATGAAAAAGATAAGTTTTGCGCTGAAAAAGGAGCAAATGCCGAGCATCGTCGATTATCAAGGTGTACGAATTGTACTGAATATCTCTAAAATTGAAACAGATCGATTGGAAGGCGCCGAGAGTGCGCCAACTACTCGCCATGCCACGACGTGTATTGACGCTCTCGGCACTGTCCGCGCTGACCACAATGACCGCGCTGTACGCAGTGTCCGCCTCAATACGACAAAAGCGTACGCACATACGTACGCAATGCGCCAAAAGGAATCTCATAGAAATTTCCTGCGTTCTTCTTCAACATAATCACGGCAGTCGTGAACACTATGGACAATGTAGGAAGCTCACAGAGATTGAGTTCCCGAAAAAAATTACGAATTCCACATTCTGTGGACGGCCGCGGGTTGGTCGAGGAGACAAAGGCACGCATGGAGAGATGTACACCTTGGAGCCCTCGTATCAAGCGACACATTAAAAGATCGAGTTGTTCGAATTTGGAGATAGAGACAAATTGATCGATAAAATGATGCCGTAGAAAAGAGAAATGTTATTACTATAAGTGGAAAAGGCTAAAAGTTGTTCCTAGCGAAGGCGATCGAGAACCAAGTGGAATCGTTCGCGTTGGCAACAAATGACAGTTGTACGGCGAGACTTGAACGAGTAACAGTCCTTCCGGTCTCTCAAATAGTTCTCAGAAGAAACGCAATTCTTTTGATACACAGGTGGGATGGAATCATCGTTTTTCCGTACGCCAAACGGTTTGTTCAAGTCAGCGAATGCGACGCATATTGGCCGCATAGGCGGGCACGCATAATGCGACATGTCAGTGAATAAACAGTAAATTATGCAGATTTACCTTGGGATCGTCGTCTTTGATATCAAATATCATCTTCATGTTATTTTGCAAGCACCAGTCCACAGCTTCGACAAGCGTAGGAATGACACCTTTGATTCCACTAAAAGTCTTATACAGCACCAGTTTATCTACGCACGCTATCGCGCGCATCACATGGTGGGCTTTAGTAAAACTGAATAACTTGCAAAATATTAGGTCACATGGCTGAAGCTAATAGTAAGGTGCTCAAAAATGCATAAGGTGAAGTTCAAAAGTTGTCCACTTCCACTGATCCCTATCGCGTGGTGCGCGCAGTAGGCAATGAAAATTAGAAAGTGGTACTTATCATACTCTGTTAACATGTTACATTAATATAGAGAAGGGCCTTTGCCCGCTTTAACCGCTGTGAGCATCGGTGTAGGAATGCGATGTGATCAGTCACATCTGGTGCCTAACTCTGGTGAAAATTCACTGTTTGCCAAGTAAAGTACTAGGTGTCCCATAATTGGCGACTCACCTTGGGTATTTTTCAGTTTTAATTTTTTTTCTATCAGATCTGAAGTGTTTGCTCATCTTGACATACACCTCTGTTATCTACAAAATGTGCTCATACATGAGGATTTTGTCGCAGTTTTTCCTCTGCAATCCCATGAGCTTTTGTTCGAAGAGCGGAAATCAAGTTTGAGGTTATGCCACTTACCATGGTCAGTGCAAAATTTCTTCCCGAGAACACAGAAATGTTGGCGTTCGCTGGCATGAGGACAGCGCTACACAGAGAGAACTGCTAGCTTGAGAGTCTCAATTTTTTATGAATATTCTCCGCAAGGTGGGTCGAACGACCTCAGAAAAAAGCAGACTTTGTCTTGCTTTACTTTCAAATTGAACGCGTCGCCATTACGCTGTAGATGTTGATCTTCTTCAGTGACCCTAGTATTACTGGGCGGCGGTTCCCAGCGCAAGGTCCTCTTCGTGTTCCACCAACATCTTAGAAGGGCTCGACTCAAAGGAGGAATTATGCTGTCACAGCTCCTCAATCGCTAGGCTACTGTCCCTTGTGGATTTGTTAGCACACTCCATCCAGTCCCCAACACTGGTGAACATGTAGGATGATCACTGAGAGGAACTCTAGGAAGCCAGAAGGAACACGGCGATCGTGTTTGGAGCTCATTCGGGCATAAAGCATGTGAGATACAACTCCATATTTGCAAAACTTGTCCGCTCTACGGAAGATGCCTACATTCCATCATCTCAACAAGTCGGATACGCTCTGGCAAATAGCGACTACTTTGTCCAGATCCAATCTCAGTGGCGCTGGGTGGATAGTGAGATTGCCGGTCGAGAGTAGTTGGAGTGTGGGTCATTTTCAAACAAAAAAGACAACCTCGGATAGAGTGAACCACTGGCAGACCGTGGATTGAGGGAGCGTGCCCTCGCCTATCTGCTGGTTGATTCTCTATGTTGTTTGGCGTTATGAAAGATCCTAATCGGAAGTAATGGAAAAGAATGCTCGAAAATAGGTTACAGAAAAACTGGATTATGAGCTTTGAAAGGCAACGTGTAAATGAGCTGACTAATTGCTCATGTAGTATAATGTGAATATTACTATGCAAAACATGTTTCATGCTTTTACAATTTTTTTGACACTTTCATAATAAATAAATGAGTCGCTATTTATGGGACAACCTTATAGTTGAGCGGCAAAGCTGCCACCTTCTTCTGTGACACGATTGAAAAATGAAGACATCTGAAAAACATGAAGAACGAACGAAGAACGAAACGATTTGAAGAATCTGCCCAAACTCTACCGCACCGTGGTCTAGTCAATGAATGCCGAATTTCGTTACCACTCTCTTGTCGCTATTAGGTCATTGTCGCTTCATTATCACTTCCTTTCATACGATTCGCCTGCTGCTTACTCCACTGCCCGTAGCACAAAATGGAACGAAAGTGATGAAATCTGCATTCAGACGCCACTTACTGCTTTGCCTTTATTATCAGTTCATCATACCGCCCACACCAGTGTCCCATCCAACCCCTCTCCCTGCACAATGTAAAACCCATACTTCGACTGTCATGGCGAAGGCTGTTAGTATCTATTGCTAGCGCAGGCAACGTAATGAAATTGTCGCTTTTGCTTTTCTACGCCTTTAGTAAGCTCGTTTTACTATCTATAACCTCAAGCCACCTGCTATCGCGTGCTCGCCACCCTCTCTCCTTCCACTCCTTCAATTTAGTGGTTGTCCACTCTAAGGACCGATTTCAATGACCTTCTCCGAACACTCCAAAGGCTAGGATTTCAACTGCTCTCAACAAGGGTTTTCGGTGCGAATCAACCCTGCTATATATATATTGAAGTACAATAGATTCCAGGGAGGGGGGGGGGGGCAAAAAAAAAGACATTTTGCCTATGTCGGACTTCGGCCCTTTTTTCTTCGCAGAGATTGCCGGCGTTGACGGGAGTTCCTCAGCAGAGTATTCCCTAAGTGTCCCTCTATAAGTGAACGCAGGCCCTCCTTCACTGCCCTCACCGTCTTCAGAATATGACGTCATCTGTCACCGTCGTCAGGCTCAAGGAGGTCTACCTGTAAGTGCTTCAGCCTGAAGCTCTTACGCAATTTCGTGAATCGATTTTAATGTTGGATACTTTTCTAGAGGCGTTGGCTCCCACTATACAAATTCCCTCGGAACCACCTTTTTCCACAGTAAAGGCTATGTACAGAATCCTTCGAAGACCCCATTGAGCTCGACCAGTGCACCATGTTTCCAGGGCAAATTCTTCTGATGCCGTCCACGTAGGTGGCCACCATGAAGATTTTCTTATAGAATGGAATGCGCTCTTTAATAATAAGTTGGACCATTCGGTCTGAATTGAGCAAATGTGCTTAAATCCATCTGGAAGTGGAGACAAAATGTCTTTTTTTTGCCCCCCTGTATACATATAATAATTTACCTTTTCAAACCCAAGCAGCAACTTTCATTGTACTGCGTTATATGTTTACTGAAAGTTGATAAATAATATATTGCAATAGTCCATCAATATACAGTGATCTTTTGAATAATTTATAGGTCGAAATCTGTTTTATATTTATGCGGTGCACACCAACATGAACGAATTGAGATATTTGATTAAGCAATTTCTTTCTGCTATTGGAAATGTGCATCGTACTTCACGTCCTTGGCGATGTAGTACGCGACAACAACGAAGACGGGATACGAACTGAAGCGTCACGTGTCCTTAGCATGAGTTATTTCTAAACACTTGAGGGACCCAATATTCCAAGGAGTGCTGCAACTGTGTCCAAGAATCATTCCCAAACTAATCGGAAGAAAAAGATGTACACTAAAATCAACTGACTCTCCGTGAGCGCCGGCAGGATCGCCGTTCAAATTACGAGCTTCCACAAAGGTTGCCCATGAAATGGCTGTCGCTTGCGGGATTCCGTTTCGAAATGGACCGTGTGTCCTTTGTCGAAAATATCGGATCACATAGTTCGACAATAAATGAAGCCGACACTACGCCTGACTAAATTTCATCGACATTACAGAGCTCTAGCAGCGGGGTGCTCTCGGCAAATTTCCAGTTTATGTCAAATTTAAATTCTTCGTTTTATTTTTCTCAGGAAATTACTTTTCGCGACGCCCGTTTCGAATCACACGAAGATGTCAGTGTTAACAGCGCTCGAACTGACTGCAGAAGCGGACCACTACTGGTATCTCGATGCAATATCAGCGCCTTCTCCTCAATGGTTTGGTGGGCATTCTGTAGTGATGGAAGATTTGAGATTCATTTTGATTCTTGTGAATGAGAAGCCAGGATTAACAGTGTCACGCTTTACGCCCAAATACTTTGTATAGTGATGGAAGCCTTGAGATTCATTTTGATTCTTGTGAATGAGAAGCCAGGACAACCAGTCACTCCTACGTCAATCACTATAAAGTCTCAAATTCGGCCTCTGGATTCCCACTAAACTACCATTCCTTGCTGTCGCTATTGATAGCTTTGTACTGAACTATACATTTGTAATACTTATATTATACTTCATTGTCTCTAGCAACATCTTAAATCAGTTTCATTGTAATGACTCTATCAATATACACCATTTAAACCATTTAAACCTGGAACCCCCATTTAAAGAAAGATATCTTGAGAATAGAGAAAGTGCAGCGGGTGTTTACTCGTCTTTTATGGTACAGAACCCATACAAACTCTCGACGCTCTGAACTCCCATCCTATAGAGATCGTTTGAGAAACTATTCTCTGAAGTCGTTGCAGTATAGGCGCACGATTTCAGACTTAGTCCTATGTTTCCGCATACTTCGTAGAGAAATCAAATTACCTGCTAGTAGATTCTGGATATTCAGACCAACCAGCGAGCGAATAGGGGGTTTTAACCTTCATTATTCGAATATACAACGCAGGAAAATTCCTTTAATGTTTAATATGATTTTCAATCGCTGTGCAAGATGGTTTGAGCTTCTGCCATCAAACGTTCTTCAATCCGCTAACAGCAAAATTTTTAGAGAAAGGATTGAAAGGCTTGACATTTTTCCTACTCTTCATATCTCAGAATATATCGGAGGATGAGCTTATGCAAAGGATCCAGAATTGCAACAGATCTTGTCTCAATGACTCGAATGGCAGTTATGAAGAGAAAGAATCGCATATATTGTTGATGATCTTGATTAACACACCAGATTCCATACCACAGCTCATAGCTTAAAAAATATTAGATGTTATGTGGTAATGAAGCTTCTGATTGAGCCACTCAGTTTACGGACACCGCCTCCCCACTACCCGATCGCTACCATGCGATTGCCGTTTTCCCTACAACTAACTGTAGTGGACTGAGGTGCGAGTGGTTTAAGCTGTGCATGAATCTGGAGTGTGCTTCAAATTTGTGTTTCGTGTTTTGTTTTTCTCTTTGATACACTCTTTGTGGGCACATCCTTGTGATGTATTAGTAAATAAATAAATAAATAAATAAATAAATATATTCTGTAACTTTCTATAATATCAATACCAATTAATCTTCCAAAAAGCACGCGAATTGGCGAATAATCACTGACATCTAGCTCACTCTTGGTTTGCTTGACAGATTTTCTTTCAGAGGATTTCAGTGACTCCCGAACAAATTCTATAGTAAACGAAAATTGAAACAATGGGCTTACCTAACTATTTTCAACGGGATGTTCTTAATGTCTTTTGCAGCAACTTGTCTGATAATCACGTCCTCTCTAGACGTGCGGCCGGTCGTCTCATCGTGAATTAGTACAGGGACACCATCTGCCGACAAATGCACGTCAAACTCCACCAGCTCACATTTCGATTGTTTTGCCTAGAAGCCTTGACAATTTCCATTTGCCAGATTTTGTCTCATTTTTTCTTTACATGTAAAAATGTGAGGAAGCGTTAAAAGAAATCCCCCCCCAAACTGTGCGATCATTGCCTACGATAGTGAAGGCCACGTCAAGGACCGGTAGTGAAAAAGGAGTAAAACTTGTTGAAAACATCCAGTAGCTTGCTCGAGTTTAACTAGGATGTGATAGTGGAATGACACACTGACGAGCGGAGAGTTAAGGGTAGGCAACGAGGGGCGACGGACGTTTGGCTCGTCCGGGCTGGCACGCGGCGATCCGGACGAGGCAAACTTCGCGGACTTTTGCAGTGGAATTCAACATGTCGAACAGTGTACAGAAGAAAACCGCAAGGTTCTGCAACTCGAATACGTTCCAGCACGCACAGAGATTTGACCATGTAGCCAGTGATGCGTAAGGAAACTTGGAAACATCAGTAGGAAGAGATGACGAGAAATAACATTGTACCGTTTTAGCAGTCAGAGCGCTCATGTCGATAGAGTGAGGGGGGAATTCCAGGAGGAGGGAGTGAGTCAATTATTGTGCTTGGAACTATGCAAGGAGGGGAAGGTAGAAGAAAGAAGGAGAAAAAGTCCTTCTTCCTCTGGTGAGGGGAAAGGGTTCTGGAGGAAGATGTGAGCAATTCTGTTCTCCATGTCTTTTCTCTCCTTTCCTGGGCTAGGCCCTATGTCACCTACCATCGGGCCTGTTTTGAATATTCTTCTTAAAAACATGAACACCGCGATCAGCAAAGCAGCAGCTATTTCAGCAAAATTCTTCAGTGTTTCCTATTCATTTGATGATAGTAGTGCCATTTACTGAAGGTTCTGTCTCTCATTGTCAGCTCTTTGCGCTAGAATTCCTCACGACACAGCAGCTTTCAAATCTTATCACCTGGAAAGCTTAACCGCAGAATTGTGCGGAGTTGATCTGCAATCTACACACGCTTTTACGCATTGGATTCTATTGCAGAATTCTATTGCGTGCCAGCCCGGACGAGCCAATAGTTCCCGTTGATCCGGCGTGACACTACTTCGCCTGTCCACGCTGCATCCGGCAACAGGTCCGCCTTTCCAAGGCTATCGGTAAGCAGCGCTTCACGGTGAATATTCGAAGTGTTGATTTTATGTGAGAGCTGATATTTTCGAGTTTCAGTTGGATGTGTAATCGGCCTAGAAGTGGTAGATTATGGAAAACATCCACGAATGTTCACTATTACTTGAGAACTCTGCTAGCAGACAATTTGAGTTCACACATGCGACAGAAATGTGCACTTCTAAACTTGAAAGGCCGTAATTTTCTTCAATTAAGAAACTATAGGGCGTGGTAAGCAAACTGCTGCTTGTTGCTCTCTAAACGTGTTCAAACTTTTGTGAATGCTCATTTCTTCAGAAAATCGTCTCGCTGGCCCACTTTTTTGTACACACTCGGGTTTTGACTTTAGGCTGGCTGTTTAACTCCCCTTCAGAGTATTTTTGGCGCGGCTCTGGCAATCTTACCCTGGCAGGTATTAGGCAGATCAGACGTTCTTGACGAACTACTTGAACTCACTTGAAATCGATAGTGGCGAAAAATAGCCTTATTAAATTCGTTTCCATCTCCTTGAATTCTTTAGGCTATTCTCCCGAAAACGCGAGTTTTCAAGCTTCAGTTGGTTACAATTCCATTCAAAATTAACTGTTTTGAAAACGGCGAACAATTCGGAAAACAACTCTCTGTGCTCTGTGGTAGCCATCAAATCTTTTCTGTGAAGTTCATTACGTTTTTTGTAATCAAGTTTTTTCCTTTCCTCGAATTTTTTCGAGCCTTGAAAAGTCAATTATCCATGTGTTTAGCTTTCCGTGGTTCGAGGCCTTAACCAAGAATGGTTTCTGTACAGGATTATTTGTGCCTGTGGACAATCAAATTTGAACGGATTTACTGAAAGTGCTTCGGCTTTGAGATGCCGCCCCGTGCACTGGCGACCAAGAGTTGAAGAATCCCTCGGAAGTTGTACCTCTCAAATGCCGTTGCAACAGCAAACCGTTTCTAATCTGCTGCAGTTGATGCTGTAGGCGTGAGTCCAGTGTTCACTGTTTTTATTGTTTATTGTTTATTACGTTACGTAAGGCAACGTAAGAAACGAACTATTAGAATACAATACTCATTCAACGAAAAAACTAGACAATCAGTTGCGAGCTCTAGTTGTGAATTATCAAAAAACTAGACAGTGTTGCGAGCTTTATCGTCACTGTGTAACATTTCACCACTAATCTTCAGGGAGTTACATTTTTTTACACTAGGACCCTACATCACTGTTCCTACGCTTGTCTTACACCCATTGAAGATCGCCCTCTCATTTGGCCATCACTCGCCCTGCGCCCTACGCTATCACATCCCATATATCCATCGTCGAAATGCGACCTCTCTTGTTGGACCCTGGCCAACGAAGTTGGATGACCTCCACCCTTTTGATGATGGTTTTCCATGACCGCAGCGATTGGCTCTTTGCTTCCACAGGACTCGGGAAATTGGTGTTCTTGAGATTTACTAGGAGCCTACCTTGCCAGCACTTCCTTGCCAGGTCTGAATAGTCTTAAAGGAATCTTCCACGGAAAAAGCTCCGCCCTCATTACCACAGAAAACGATACCTTAAAGGAATCTTCCACGGAAAGAGTGATCATTTTGTCTTGTGTGTAGGATTAGTATTATCGAAACTAACGCTTATGTTCCGTTCTTTTTGCTATGCTCATGAGGCTAGGGGCCTAAGGGGTATCGTTTTTCTGTGGTAATGGAGGCGGAGCTTTTTCCGCGGAAGATTTCCTTTAAAGGCCTGACATGGAGAAGGTGGCAATTCCTTGCTCCAGTGGCCCGGGAAGTGGCGACCCAGGATGGCTTTGGTCGATTTGAAGCGTTTATTAGAGCCCAGCTTCTTTGAAGACCAAACGATCAGTGAGCAAAACGCTCGTAAATCCAGAACAACTTACCGTTCCTCAATAGGGTCTTTTGCAAAATATTCGAGTTAATTTTACACTTTGGAAGATGGATTCCAATGGAGCTGCACTTTTGGATGTTACCCCGTCACAAACTACCGCACCATACCAAAGTCTGTTGTGAACTAGACGTCATCTCGAAGACTTGCTCTCGCTTTTTGGCAACAACTTCCCCTGACTTTGATGGTCGCAAAGAAGTTTAGTTCAAAAATTTCTCAATAACCCAATCCGTAAAGGAGATGCGGGCGCACGGGCTCGTGCTCGTGCAGAAACTTTTTGAATTTTTGTCACTTGAATCTATTCGGATTGCTCCAATAAAAACCACAGAGAGAGTTGGTAACATCTTCAAATAATGACTGCTTCCCAAGATTTTCCTGGAAGGAGTGACGGCAGATCCTGAGATCAAAAGCGATGTGACTCACGCTGGCTTCATTCGTTTATCGTACCATCCTCTCTAGATGAGGTTTGATTGCTCCAATCCTCTGAATGTGCACAGTTTTTGATCTTCCACTTTTCGCAATCCCAGAGACGTGTTGTTGAACCTGAGAGCATCGAACATGTTCCAAAGAGTTGGAGAGGAAATAATGTGTCGCTTTCCGAAGTTGCAATTTCAGAAACCGCTCATTGGGCAGCCCCTTAGTAATAGGTCGATGCGGAAAAATCTTCGTGGCGAGAGTTCAGATGAACTTTGGACCAAACAACTTATGGTGCTTCTTCACATAGTTTCAAAGCTTTCGAAGAGTTTCGAAACACTCTGAAAATACTCCACGGCTCAGTGCCAGCAAGCGGTCAAAGCCGCGTCCTATACTTTTCGGCCACCCTGTACATATCATATAGGCTCGGCCTCACTCAACGGCAGTGATCTGAGGGCTGGATATAAAGGCTACTTTGGAGCGCATCACTGCTACTATTATTTACAGGACAGACTACGAAGTACAGTCGAGATCCGTAAGTTGGGGTAGGCGTGTCACCGGAAGTGACGTGGACTTGATAGAGGTTGCGTAGGTAAGTCGCTGCCAGCATGCTTTGCTGATATCTCGCGATATATATTGGAAGCACCTTATCCACATAGATTCTATCAAGTACACGTCACTTCCGGTGACACGCCTACCCCAACTTACGGATCTCGAGTATATATTATCTTTCAGCAGAATTGGTCCATATCAGTTTGGCTTCCACATTGCCTGACCGCTCTGCGTACATGCAGTCATGGATAACGATTCATATCTGAAGGATAAGGATGAACTCCTAATCACCAACCATTGCGAATCCTTCTATAGTATTTTCCGGTGCTTCATACGGTGAACCTCGATGACCACCCATTCTCAGACCAGAGAAGAAATTCGCTTTTCGAGTGATGAATACTCTTAAGGAAACAAGATCGCAAGTCATTGGAGAGCTAATGTTCATTTTTCAGCCCTCCCCTTTCGCGCACGTACCTCAAATTTCTATTGATTCCATGCCCATATAACCGATATCTATTATACTTCTGGCCTTTGACGGTAGAGGAAGTATCAACCATCACTTTGATTAAAGCAACAGTCCCAGAAGGGTGGGCGTGGTCGGAAACGGCTGCAATTCCCTCGGCCGATTCCCACTTCGGAGCTGTTCAGCCCCTAGTCAAGGAGGGGATTCAGTTGGTGTGGTCGGAATCGGGATTGCAGTCGTTTCCGACCACACCCACCCTGCTGGAACTGTTGCTTTAACAGCCTGCCGTATATGTGGTTCTTGAAAAAGACTCCACCCCAATCGACCCAGAAATGAAGATGGAAGGGCGCCATGTAGGACCATGTTCAACACCAACCCCACTACCACAATGAGGAGTATTAAGGAGAGCTCCATCAAAAACATGGGGTAGAGTCGGGCTTATTCAAGAATCTGTAAGCAACCGTCCTGAATGTGGGACATTTTGCTTTTGAAAAAAGCACTTACGTCTTGATTGGTAACAGGCGTGTTCTTGAAGACATGGAAGAGTACGGTGAGTAGTAGCGGAGTGAGACAGATGAAGTTTAGCAGAAATGTCGAGCGAACGGTAACTCCAGTTAGTAGTATGATTGTTAGTGATATCCTGAAATGTTGCTTCCTATGATGTAGCAAGTGCTCATGATGATTGAAGATCTTTCCGATGGGATGTTGCAAACATCACAACGAGCAGCAACGGAGCGAAACATGAGTGAACTGACCACAGTATTATATAACCGCCCATAACCAGTAAGAAAGGTGATAAGAATGATGTGACTCGACAACAGCCCTTTTATTTTGCCTCCCATGATAAGATGATCATCAGTGGATCATCTACAAAGATAAGAGAGATCACGGGAAGTATAGATGTGATGCTGGAATAATCACGTATTTTCTATTTTAATGTTTTTTTTACGAACACAGCCTCAATGGGCACCATATAACCAACCAATATTCTCATACACAATTCACCTGTCACCTGTATCACCTGTCGTCCCGTTGATCATCGATTTGCTCGAGCGGGCGCCAGCAACGTCTCCATTCGTCCCTGTCGCGTGCAAGAGTTGTCCAGTGGATCCTCCTCGCTCGAGGGACACGAAGCCTTCATTCCTTTCGTTCAGAGCTTTCGTGAAGAAGTCTGACCATCGGGCCGGCGGTCGTCCAGGTGTTCGTTTGACGTCCCGAGGGATCCAGTCGGTAACGGTCATCGCAAAATCGCATGACGTGTCCGGCCCACCTTATCTTCGATTCCTTGGCGAAAACGGCAGCGTCCCTGATCTTCGATCGTTGGCGTAGTTCGGCACTCCGGATTCCCCTCTGCACTTGCGTGTATAGGGTTACTCCTAGCATCGTCCTCTCGACAGCGCGTTGGATAACGCTGACCGCATGCTCGTCCTGCCTGCGCAGAGTCCAAGTCTCTGAGGCGTAGGTTAGGGCAGGAAGGACAGCGGAATCGAAGAGGTGGGCACGGAGCCGGATGTTCTTCGTCTTCTTCACTACTCCCTCGATGTTCTTGTACGCTCCCCAAGCCGCTCGTTTCCTCCTGCTCAGCTCTGGAGCTAGATCGTTCATCATATTGATTTCCCGACCTAGGTACACGTAGCTGGAGCATTCGGTGATGTTCGTTCCGTTGAGCGTGAATGGGGCATCAGGAACCAATCCGTTTCTCATAAACATCGTCTTCGTTAGGTTCAGCTGTAGACCAACCTTACCACGAGGCGCAGTCAATCCGCTCCGCTTGCTCGATGTTCGGCGTTATAAGAACGATGTCTTCAGCAAACGAAGTGGTTGCCGTCGTCGACTTCACTCCACATCCAACTGACGCATGACGTTCTTGAGAGCAGAGCTGAATCGTTTGGGCGAGATGGTGTCGCCCTGTCAAACCCCTCTCTTGACGTCTATGATGATCCCTTGAAAAATAATGAAATCCTGGTCGTAAAGTTGCTGTAGAGCTCACGAAGAATCTTGATGTACTGAGTAGGGACGCCCTGGTTGCCCAAGGCTTCGATGACCGCTTCTGTCTCCACAGAGTCGAAGGCCTTCTTCAAGTCGATGAACGTGAGACAAAGCGGCATCTTGTACTCTCGTGAAACTTCAATGAGTCTTGTAACCGTGTGGATATGGTCGATCGTGCTGAACCCTCTTCGAAACCCTGCTTGCTCGCATGGCTGTCCTTTCATCTAATATTCTGCCGATCCTGTTAAGGATGACTCGAGTGAATAGCTTGTAGATTACAGACAGCAGGCAGATTGGGCGATAGTTGCCAATGTCGTCCAGGTCTCCCTTCTTGTACAGCAACACGGTCCTGCTGGTTTTCCACGGAGTGGGTACCTTCATTCCAACAGGTAGCGCGTGAAGGTCGAGCCAGTCTTCTTGTTCTTCTTCTTCTCCTAGCGTTAGTCCCGCGCAGTCGCAGGGTCCGCTGTCTTTGTCAGTCGTCGCCACTTTAGTCTGTCCAGGGCGTCCTCTGCTGTGGCCATGACTTCACTTAGATCCTTCTTGATCACATCTCTCCACCTCTTCTTTGGGGCTCCTCGCGGTCGCTTGCCTTGCACTTCGAAGTCCATCGCTGTTCTTATCGGATGATCCTGTGGCCTCCTTAGCACATGCCCATACCATCGTAGACGCTGTTCGTACCTTCAGCTGGACAGGGGCCGTCTGCATGACCGCTCTAACATCGTCGTTCATTTGTCCAGCCGTCAACAGAGACCCATCCTCACATCCTCATCTTCATCGGAGTGAACTGCTTTCGTAGTTCTTGTCAGGAGCCAGCACTGTACCGTATATAGCGCCTGACTACTGTTCGGTACACCTTCCCTTTGAGCGTTCTGGAGCATCTTCGATCACAGAGGATTCCAGTGGACTCCCTCCATTTCATCCATGCTGTGTTGACCCGAGCCTTCACCGCCTGATCCACACTGCCATCAGCTGCCAGATCGCTCCCAAGGTAGCGGAAGTCCTCCACTCTTTCGATGGTCTCACCATGGCCGTCTACGATCGGCTCTGCACCCTCTTCGGAGCTCAGGAACTTGGTCTTCTTGACATTCAGCCGTAGCCCGCCTTCTGCCAGGACCTTCTGCCATTGCTGCACCTTGGCCTGTAGTTCCTCTCTACTATCCGCTATCAGGGCGATGTCGTCAGCGTAGAGGATGGTCTTCAGTGGTCCTTCCATGAGGCCCTTCACCATGGTATCGAGCGTTAGGAGGAACAGGAAGGGGCTCAGAGCTGACCCTTGATGCACCCCAACCGTGATGTTTATCTCCTTTGTTAGGCCGTGAGGGGTGCGTATGGCTGCTTTGGCTCCTTCGTACATGTCCTTCACCAGAGAGATCAGGTGTTCTGGCACGTTTCGTTCCCTGAGCGACCTCCACAGCACTGCTCGCGGTAGCCGGTCGAACGCCTTCTCCAGGTCGAGGAAGGCTAGGTAGCAGGGTCGGCGCTTTTCTCGATACTTCTCCATCACTTGCCTTGCGATGAAGATGGCATCCGTTGTAGATCTTTCGGGCATGAACCCGAACTGTTCCTGGGAGATCGGGACCAGCTCCCGCAGCTTCTTATCGACCAGCCGCTCGTACAACTTCATGGTATGCGCAGTCAACTTGATGCCGCGGTAGTTGGAGCAGTCCATTCGCGTCGCCCTTCTGTTTGAAGATGGGGACGATGGTACTTGTCCTCCATGCATCCGGCATCTTTCCTTCCACTGTTACCTTGTTCAGGAAGCTGGTGAGCCACCTTATGCCGTACTCTCCGAGCGCCTTCCATGCCTCGATTGGCACCCCATCTGGGCCAACCGCCTTTCCAACCTTCATCCTCCCAAGTGCACACCTAACCTCATCCTTAGTCCAGAGTGCGATGGGACCAGCTGTGGCCTCTGCTGTGAGTCGCTTTGTGGGGGAACCTCGTTCAGAAGCCCTGAAGTACTCTTCCCACCTCCTCTTGACTTCGGCTGGCTTTCTTAGGATGACACCATCGCTGCCTTTTACACTTTTCACCACCCTGATGTCTTGAGTAGCACGATGGCGGGCCTTAGCCAGCCTGAAGACGAACTTCTCTGCGTTTCTGCTTTCCAACTTCTCGTACAAGGCGTCCATTTCCGTGTTCTTCGCCTTGGCGACAGCAGCCTTAGCGAGCCTCTTGCAACTCCTGTAGGTGGCGAGGTCTTCGGGGCTCCGGGTCTTCTGCCAGCGCTTGTATGCTTCCTTCTTCTGCTTCACGACTCGCTGGACCTCCTCGTTCCAGAACCACGCTGCCTTGTCTCCTCTGAATCCACCTCGCGTCTCGCCCAGGACCTCCTTGGCACATCGCAGGATGGTATCTCAGCCGCGCTGCCCCAGTTCGCTGTATTGGCCCGGTAGGATCTGGGGACCGACTTCCACTATCTTTCGCCTGAGGTCATCCCTTCTCCGCTTGGTGCAGCTTCCACCACCGGATTCTCCTCTCGGTTCTTACCCTTGTCTTCTTGGGGAGGTCTATCGCAATGTCTGCCAGGAGGGGCCTGTGCTGGGGAGCCAGATCTTCGCCGGGTAGAACTTTGATATCCTTCACAGTTTTGAGGGTTGATCTTCTTACCAGCACATGGTCGATTTCCGTCTGTCTCCCTCCGCTGCTGTAGGTTACCTTCTGAGTCTTCCTTTTCGCGAAGAACGTGCTGCAGATTGCCAGTCGTGGGCTGTAGCCAGGTCCAGAACCCTCTCTCCCTCAGCGTTCCTCGTTCCTATCCCTCTACCTCCGTGCACTCTTTCTAAGCCTCTTCTGTCACTACCGATGTGACCATTCAGGTCACCTGCCATGGTCAGGTAATCATCTTCCGGAACCGATCTTATGGCTTCGTCCAGGCTCAGATAGATTCGTCCTTATCACTTTCGGGGCACCCGGCTTGCGGTGCGTACACGGAGAGTATGTCCA